TGGCCATTTTTTGGTTGCAGCCATCATTGTTGTTTGGCGGGCCCGGGCTGGGGATTCGAACCCACCACCTTAGGTGTATGTGGCTGGCGCCGTAGCCGCTTGAGCCACAGGCACTGAGCCCCATGTGTTGATTTCTGACTTTATCTGCAATCCCTGTCTCCCTGAAATGTATAAAACCAAACTGTCACCCCAACGCTGCAAGTCCACTTGCTCCAGGCTTCTTGGGTGTGGCTCCCGGTCATGGTCCTCCAATTTGGCTCAGAATAAACCTCTTTAACTTATTTGACAGAGAATGGCTTCTTTTCCATTAACATCTTAATGTCACTTTCCTGCTTCTGATATTGCCTTATCTTTTGGCAAGATAGTGCCAAGCCCCATTGCCTTTGGGTCCTGCCCACCCTGCTGTCTGGTCAGGGCTCATGGAAGGACATATGTGACTGGTGAGTGGGTCGTCCTGGTGCCTCCTTTGTTTGCCTGAGACTCCCTGCGACCACTGCACGTGGAGGGCCCCTTGCTCATGGGAGATTGCTCCAGCTAGCCACCCTGGCTAGGACTGCTGGAATGCTGGGCTGTCCTCCTTCAGGCTCAGGTAGGTGCATGGGCCCAGTCCAAGCCTCTCAGACTGAACCTCTCACACCAGATTTTACTTCCCCAGCAGGCCTCGGCTGTGGGCAAACAGGATCATATCCAGAACTTCCTACTGTTGGCTCCAGGACACGGGCCCCACAGCAACTACAGTAAGACCTTGCTGGTGGGTGAGGGGTTGGGTATCAGATTTGAAAAGTTTGTTGGGGCCTTATGGTGTGCCCACCTGCCTCTGGAACAGCTGTGGCTGCTTAGGCCTGGCTGAACTCTGGGCTGGGCTGGGGCTCCCCCCATTTCATCTGTAGGACCCTGCAGTCAGGCCTTCTCCAGGAAGCTGGGCTCAGGGTAGGAGAAGGTCCTTCTTATTCCTGCCCTGAGGGCTCTGCGCCCACCTCCAGCAGATGCAAGCATGTCCCACACCAGTGCCTGGGCCTGGGCTGGGGCAGGGTGGGAAGTGTATTCACCCTCTGAAGTTTTTAATGGGTGTTTATTTTAAATTTGGCAATTATTTTGTCAACTCTAGAAAAAAATTAAAATACAGGAAAGTAGAATACTGTCATAAAGAAAAAGTGGCAACCACATATAATTTAATTAACTAGAATTAACTACTGATGATGCTTTTATTTCTTTTTGGTCTTTTTTCCTTTTATATGTTAATATAAAATCACACCACATGCATGGTGTCAAATCCTACTTCACTTCTCCCAATGTTCTATCCCAAGCCTTTTTGCAAATTACTAAGAAAAATTTCATAAGTGTAATGTTGGTCTACCTGGTATTTCAAATTTTGGATACACCGTAATGTATGGTCTCCTTACTGCTGGAACTTTAGCTTTTTTTGGTATTTCTTTTTATGACTGTTCGTTTCTTCTCATTTAAAGTAATGCTGTGATGAACATTCCTATGCAAAAATTGTTTGCACTTTAAGCTATTTTCTTAGGGTAGTTTATTAAAGGGGCTTTTGCTGGACCACGTTGGGGGTAAGTAGAGGAAATGTCTTAGAAGTCTTAGTGGACAGTACCAAATTCTTTCTAGGCCCAGGTGACAATGCTGCCTCACCTCTCTTACAGTGCTGAATATTATCCTTTCTTAAAGTCCTTTTGATTTTCAAAAGAGTAAAAAATTTCAAAATTTCTTTCTTTCTTTTCTTTTTTTTTTTTTTTTGCTTTGTAGTTTTTGGCCAGGGCTGGAATTGAACCCGCCACCTCTGGCATATGAGGCCAGTGCCCTACTTCTTTGAGCCACAGGCGCCACCCCAAAATTTCAAAATTTCTCAAAGCGTTTTCCTGTTGTTGAATTTGTTTCTTCAGAATCTGAGTCATGGCTATAAAGCTTATGCCAGGACAAAGGGCTTGTAGAGCACAGGGCTGTAATAAGCTATTTCTTCCCCCTTCTCCACTGTGGGGTCTGCACAGGCAAATGAGGAGAAGCAGTGGGTTATACTTCTAACTCTTTTCTTAGGACTGAAGAAATTTATCAACTGGCTAATGTCCACTAATGACCAGGTTAGGAGATTACCCCCTGTAGGTCAATCTTTGTTTTTAAATGATAAAAACATTAAAGGGTTATGAACTTAAACCTTTAACTCTATAACTTTGGTTGCACCAGAAAGTTTTGTTAAGTCCATCCTCTCGTGCCATACGCTTTTCTTCTTGCTTTCTTCTGTTTCTTTGCATTTCCTTACAAAAAACGTATCTGTTAAAAACATCTTCCCCTACCATTTAAGCGTTTCTCTCTCTCTTTTTTTTTTTGAGACAGAGCCTCAAGCTGTCACCCTGGGTAGAGTGCTGTGGCATCACAGCTCACAGCAACCTCCAACTCCTGGGCTCAAGTGATTCTCCTCCGTCTGCCTCCCAAGTAGCTGGGACCACAGGCACTTGCCACAACGCCCGGCTATTTTTTTGGTTGCAGCCGTCATTGGCAGGCCTGGGCTAGATTTGAACCGGCCAGCTCAGGTGTATGTGGCTGACTCCTTAGCTGCTTGAGCCACAGGTGACGAGCCATTTAAGTGTTTCTTATTAGCAGTAGATCAATGAACTTTGAAAACAAATATTTCTAGACTATATAAATAATACATGGTGATTGCAAGAAGATTGAGCACATAAGCCATTAAAAAGATAAAAATTACTACAATTTCACAGCCCAGCAGACACTGCCATTGGTATTTTGATGTTTATATTTCCAGACTTTTTTCATCTATACAAATGCATGTGAATAAACATTTTAGCAAAAATTAATTCATAGTACACATATTCTGTAATCAACTTTTAAATTTTATAACATGTGAATATCTGTACCAGTGTATTGTTCTTTTTTCTGGGCAGAATCTCACTCTGTTGCCCAGGCACAAGTGCCATGGCATCAGCCTAGCTCACAGCAGCCTCACTGGGCTCAAGCAATCCTCCTGTCTCAGCCTCCCAAGTAGCTGAGATCACAGATGCCTGCCACCATGACTGGCTAAGTTTTCCATTTTTAGTAGAAATGGTGTGTTGCTTTTGCTCAGGCTGGTCTCAAATTCCTAACTCAACTCAAGTAATCCTCCTGCCTCAGCCTCTCAGAGTGCTGGGATTACAGGTGTGAGCCACTACGCCTAGCCTGGAATATTGTTTTCCTACACATGGTTGTGTAGGACTCCATTTTATGAATATAGCACAATTTAAATAGTCATAGGTGTTGACCATTTTGGTTTTTTCCAATTGTGTATACTGCTGTCTGGAACATCCTTTTATGCTCATCTTGGTGCAGGGATCTAGTTATTGCATCAGAATAAATACAGAAAATTTGAATTTTGGAGTCAAAGGATATGTGTGGTTTAAGCTTTTGGTAAATATTGTCATATTGTCCTTCAAACAGGGCTGCCAATGAATACTAGTTTCCCGGAATACACGATCTCTGGCTCCATCGGCTGTGCCTCACCGAGTTCCCATCAGGATGATTTCCCTGCTGTTTCCCAGGTATGTCCAGCATGTTCTCACCTCCGGGTCAGTTCCACTGGCTGGTCAGTCTGCCTGAAATACTTTCCCCCCAGACATCTAAATGGCCACACCCTCACTTTCTTTGTGCGTCTGCTCAGATACCATTTTATGAGACTCCCCATCCCTGTTCAACTTACATAAGAGAGCAACGGCCTTTCTCCTAATCCCCTTCCTCTTCCTTACCTTTCTCCCTCACTTCTATCACCTTGCCTCTCCCCAGGCCAGAATGGAAGGGCCTCGGGGCAGACATTCCATTTCACTGGATTCCAGCTCCTACATAAGCACATGGCTCCTCCAGGGATTCATAATAAATATTTACTGAATAAACAAAAGATTGTTATTCTCTTCTAACTTGATTAGGTCAGTAAGTGGAACATGGTATCTCACTGTGGCTTCAATTTACATTAACTTGATTACTAATTAAGATGAATTGTGTTCATTATATCTGGCCATTTATTTTTTTCCTTTTGAGAATTACTCATTCATTTCCTTAGTTTATCTTTCTATTGAGATGTTTATCTTTTTATTTTTATTCGTTTATTTATTTTTATTTTATTTCGAGACAGTGTCGCCCTTGGTAGAGTGCTATGGCATCACAGCTCACAGCAACCTCAGACACTTGGGCTTCATTGATTCTCTGGCCTCAGCCTCCCAAGTAGCTGGGAGTATGGGCACCAAGCCTATCTTTTTTTTTTTTTTTTTTTTAGAGTCTCACTTTGTCGCCCTCTGTAGGGTCCTGTGCCATCACAGCTCACAGCAACCTCCAGCTCCTGGGCTTAAGCGAGTCTCCTGTCCCAGCCTCCCAAGTACCTGGGACCACAGGCGCCCACCACAACGCCCAGCTATTTTTTGGTTGCAGCCATCATTGTTGTTTGGCGGGTCCGGGCTGGATTTGAACGCTCCGCCTTAGGTGTATGTGGCTGGCGCCTTAGCCATTTGAGCCACAGGCGCCGAGCCTGAATTTTGTTTTCTTATCTTGTTGTCATGTTTAGGCTATCTCTCAAGACTGTCTGAAGGCCATCTTCATATTCTTTTTAGTACCTTTATTGCATCTTTAAAAATATTTAAAATCTAATTTGGAATTAGAAAATTAAAAACAATTTAAAATCCATTTGGAATTATTTTGCTGTAATATATGAGATAGAAATAATAAAAAAAAAGTAAGTTTTCTCAGTAATATTTATGAATCCACCCAAATAGTGAGAACAAGTAGATAAGCTTGTTAGTTTTAAAAAACTCATCCAAGTCTGGGCGCAGTGGCTCATACCTGTAATCCTAGCACTCTGGGAGGCCGAGGCAGGTGGACTGCCTGAGCTCACAGGTAGACCTGCCTGAGCAAGAGTGAGACCCCTGTCTCTAAAAAATAGCTGGGCATTGTGGTGGGTGTCTGTAGTTCCAGCTACTAGGGAGGCTCAGGCAAAAGAATCTCTTGAGCCCAAGGGTTTGAAGTTGCTGTGAGCTATGATGGCACAGCACTCTATTGAGGGTGACAAAGTGAGACCCAGTCTCAAATTAAAAAAAAAAAAAAGAAAAAACAAAGACCACCACCAAACAAACTCATCCAAAAGCTGAGATCACAAAGAAAATTAAATGTACTAAAATCCAGAAAATAGAATTAGCCCATGACTGCTTTTATCTTTGGTAGATTGGGTAGGAAAGGAGAAATATGTTAGCGGGGAAGAAGGAAACAACCAGCATTTTAATGAACATTTAGGGGCTGGCAGAACAGATTAATATCTGGAGAAGCCCAGTCCCAAAGTGAGTTTGCCCTCACCTGACCACTAAGGCTCCACTAAGCCCAAACCCAGAGCAACTCTCCACAGTAGTGGCTTGATAGAAGAAAGAGAAAGTCCTTTGTTAGGTGGAAGGTATTATTTTTACAGGTAAAGTCTGGTATACAAAGGAAAAGTGGCAAGGCAGAGAAAAACCTGATAAAATGTGACTGCTTTCCCCAAGAGAGGAAGAAATCACAGAAGCAGACCAGAGATGGCCCAGAGACTGGAATTCTCAGACCGAGATTTTAATACTGATATGATACAAATGTTAAAGGGTCAACCAGGAAAAGTACACCACACGGGTAAGTATAGGAGAGTATTTCAACAGAGAAATAGAAACTATAACAAAGAACCAAATGCAAATTTTAGAAATGAAAAATATTTCATCAGAAATGCAAAATTTATTAGCTGAGCTCATCAGCAGCATGGAAATAACAGAGGGAACAATTACTGAATTCAAAAACAGATTAAGAGAAATTATCTAAATGGAAACACAAAGACAAAACAGAAGAGAGTATGGAAGATCTCTGGGATTGTATCAAACGGTTCAATATGCATGTAAATGAAGCACTAGAAAGCAAGCAGAGCGGATAGGGCAGAAGAAATATTTAGCAGCGATAATAGCGGAGCATTAAACACGATTGATGAGAGAAACCTCCGGATCCAAGAATCTCAGTGAACCTCAAGGAGAAGTAGGATAAACATAAATAAAAGCATACCTAGGCCTATCAGTCAGAACTGCTGAAACCCAAGGATAAAGATAAAACTTTAAAAGCAGCGGGGTGGGAGGAGGGCAGGGAAAGAAGCAGCTAGAGAAAAAAATGACATAATACAGGGGAACAATGATAAAAATGTGGGCTGACTTTTCATTAGAATAAATGCAGGGCAGATGACAGTGGAACCGTATTAAATTTTGGATGAAAACAAAACCAAAACCAAAAATATTTTCCACCAAGCAAGTTATATCTAGAAAAAAGATCCTTAAAATTGAAGGGAAATAGAAAATTTCAGACAAAGACAAATAATTCATCTCAAGGTCTTCATGTTGAAGAGAAATGCCAGATAAAATCCCAGATCTGCAGGAAAATATGAAGAGCACTAGGAAGGATAGGATTATTGATCTCTTCATCTATGTCTCTGTCTCTATCATCGCTATCTCTATCGTTATCTCTATCTATCTATTTATACTATGACTATTGACTAGCGCCAAAATCATGGCAAGGAATTGTGGGATTTATAGAATATGTAGAAGTAAAATACTATGTGAAAACAAGAGCACAAAAGACAAGAAGGGGGTAAATGAAATATAATCTAAGTATCTTATAAAATGCACATTATAATCTTTAGAGTATTTACAGCAAGTCCTCACTTAATGTTGTTGATAGCTCCTGTTGACTTTAAGTGAAATGATGTATAACAAAACCATTTTTTTCTCATCACTGTTATAATTAAACAATGTTGAACAAAACAACATTTGTCTGAGGACCTGCTGCATATCATTTTTGTCTAAAATTACAGTTTCCAAGAACCTATCAATGATACTAAGTGAGAAGTACTATACTGAGAATTTGAAGTTATATCTAAAAATTCAATAGAAGACATGGGCAGTGCCTGTGGCTCAGTGGGTAGGGCGCTGGCCCCATATACTGAGGGTGGCGGGTTCAAACCCAGACCTGGCCAAACTGCAACAACAACAACAACAACAACAACAACAAAATAGCCGGGCGTTGTGGCGGCCACCTGTAGTCCCAGCTACTTGGAAGGCTCAGGCAAGAGAATTGCCTAAGCCCAGGAGTTGGAGGTTGCTATGAGTTGTGTGACGTCATAGCACTCTACTGAGGGCGATAAAGTGAGACTCTGTCTCTACAAAAAAAAAAAAAATTCAATAGAAGACATTAAAACACACATAAAAATAATTAACCTTACTCTCTCCCTGAAAAGGGCTAGGAAAAAAGAATCAGAGGAATAAAACATAACAAATGTGACAAACAAAAAATATACTAAATAAATATACTGTTGTGGCCCAAACCATAACAGTACCTACATTAAATATAAATGAACTCTCCAATTAAAAGGCAGAGATCTCCACACAGGGGTGTCCAGCTATTTTTCTTCTCTGCTGCACATTAGAAGGAGAAGAAAAGTTGTTTTGGGCCACATATTAAATACACAAACACCAGTGGACGCCAGTGAGCAAAAAAAAGGTCTGTGCATAGTTTTCATGATATCTAATACCACAGATGAGCAAAACCGTCTCACACACTCTGCATGCCGCCCATGGGCTGCAGGTTGGACAATGCTGGGAGTCAGATCTAGCTGTATGTTGTTTACAAGAAACAACTTTAAATATAAATACAGATAGTTTGAAAGTAAAAGTGAAAAAAGATATCTACCAGGCAAAACGGTAAGCATAAGAAAGCTGGTGTGGCTATATCAATTATCAGAAGAAGTAGCTTTCAAGGTAAAGGTATTAAAGCCAAAAAGGATGTCATTTCATATATATAAGAAGGCAATTAACCAAGAAGACAGAATAATCCTAAATGTGTAGACACCTAATAACAGACCCTCAAAATACATGAAGCAAAAGCTAACAGAACTAAAGGGGAAAATAGATATTGTTTACCTTAGGTAGGGATTTTCATACCACTCTCTGGGTGACGGATAAAACAAGCAGACAAAGCCAATAAGGTGATGGATTACTTGAGTGACATTATCTAACAAGTTGACTTTAAAGTTTATTTTATTTTTTAGCTGTTTTTTAAAAGTTGATTTTAATTGACATATGTGTACACTACAGCCAACAATAGTAGAATACTTGCTCTTTTTAAGTGCACATGGAACATTTATTGAGAATTTGTGGCTAATAGGTTTCAATAAATTTAAAAGGATTGAATTTACTTAGAATATGTTCTCTGACTACAATATTTTTAAAACAGAAATCAGTGACAAAAAGGTATCTAGAAAATCCATAAATATTTGGAAATTGAATACGCTTTTGAATAACCTATGGGTCAATAAGAAATCATAAGCTACTTTAGAAAATGTTTTCACCTGAATTTGATGAAAAGACATGGTATCAAAATTGGTGAGATGCAGCTACAGCAGTGTGCAAAGGGAATGAACTGTAGACAGACATTACAAAAAAGAAAGGTTCAAATTCACTGATCTAAGAGTCTACATTAGGGAGCTAGAAAAAGACAAGTA